TTAAATTCTCCATTCTCTTCCCCCCCCCCTTTCCCTTTTCTTCCCCACATAAAATTGCTTGTTCATTAAAGATGGCTTCTTCTTTGTCCTAGTCTTCTTGTTTTGCAGTCGTATCTTGTTTCTCATAGTTCCAAATCTCCATTTCTAAGAATTGAAAAACGAAGCCAAAAGAACCCTTCCCTTCTAGTGCATCTTCTTTGTACTTTTTAAGTTCCATTTTCAATTCATCCAGAAGTGGTGCCATTGTATAAATTTTTAAACAACCACCCGATTGATTTTAGTCATTCAAATATAATAACCAAGAATCCAAAGATCACCAAATAATACAAATACACACAAGCTGTTTCTTTTCTGCTCTTTTCTTTTCACTTTCTCTTCCTGGGGTTACTATTTAGTTGCAAAGTTTCAGTTAAAATGTATCTTTTAGAAGTCTTGTTGAAGTTTTACTGTAGATTCTTTCTAATTCCAGGCAGTCTCCTCCCTCTTCCAGATCCTGCTTTTATTCTTTTTCTCTCCCTTCCTGCTTATGAAAAAGAAAAATTTTAACCTCCAGAAATCTTTATTATCCCTTTGGCATTTTGTTTTATTTTCAGCTTAATTGCCTATTGGTGTCAAAGTGGATTTTTTCCAATTTCTTATTTAAGTCTCTTAGTTGTCAGTATAGGGAAGGAGAGAGAAGGAAAAAAAACCCAAATCTTTCCCTTTTCACTTTCCTTCGCTGCTTCCGACTCTTCTTTGGGAGCGATGTTATTTTATTTAAATTCCAGGGTACCTTAGTTGTTGCTTTTACAATTTAACCTGGTCAGCCAAAACTTTCACTTCTTATCTTCCTCCTGCACATTCTTTTCTGGTCAAGTTCTTCTTTGAGGTGGCCATTTCTGACCACCGCTGCAACCACCTTCAGGAAAGGGAATAATGGCCAGCTGAGGAGGAGAGATGCGGCTCTCCTCAACCCTGCTGGTGGTCTCCCCCCTCATCACCACCTCTACAGGGTGACTTAGCACCCAAAACAGCTGGCTCGGGGCGCTCTAGTGACGAGCCCAGACAGAAACCGTGCACGATCAAGGATTTCTGTCTGTCACCGAAGCCCTTCAAACCGGAAGTCCAATACTTCACAAATTTTAAGGATTATTCAAAGGAGAAAATCCCTTCATTTTCAAACCCACTTTATAAACCCAGAATCCAAAACCACAAAACTACATTAAAGCTTTCTTTCAATTATATATATCTCACACCAATAAAAATCCAATTAACTACAATTAACTCATTAAATTTAAATCTCTCCCTCCAGTTTATACTCATGGAAGGAGATCTTTTTTTCTTTAAAAATATTAATTATTCATATTTTTAAATTTGATTTCAATATCTTACAAACTTTGGGAGTTATTCAATTATATACTGTAAAAAGAAAACAAACATTTACAAAGCCATTTTATAAACACAATGCTACATTAAAACTTTCTTTCAATACATATGTCAGACTTGTAAAGATCCATCCTAATTCCGATTAACTCATTGAATTTAAGTCACTCCATCCAGCTTATCCTTACATAATAAAATAATTTTCTTCTCAGGAATGTCATTCAAGTCCCATGTCCTCAACAAATTCTTGTTAACATTAAAAAAAAACCCAAAATTTTTCTATTAAAAACCTGAAGTTCTTCCACATAAAATAAAGTTTTTGTCAGGGTTCCAAGTAACATACCTGTAGCAAACAAAAATCTGAGGCAGGTAGATTCCTCAAAGAATAAGTTTTATTGAGTATGTCATCTTGGCACAGGCTGGTGAAAACCGACTCTGAATATTCCCACAGTTTTCACTTAACAAAAAGCAAAAGTTTGCCACTTTCCCAAAACAACCAGTCACATGGTCCAATCAGGATACAGTCCAGTTGCTAGGTGACATCAGTCCCCTTCTTCCGAAAACCTGCAGAAATGTCCTTGGTTGCCAAGGGAAAATATTTTGTTTTGACTATATCATCCCAATGATCTATTCCCCCTTCCCTGTCCCTCTTCTCTGGTGTGTCAACACTGAAGTCTGAAAATGGCCTCAGTCAGGCCAGCTTTAGGATTGGCAGTTTTCTTCTTCTCCGAGATGTCTATCAGATCTCTTTTCTCAACTTTGTTAGTATCCATGAAGAAAAAGTCCCAAATGTTATTGGAAGCCCTGAGCTTGGTTGTTTTTTTTGTAGATATTCCATTACCCAAAACAGTGCTAGTAGGAAGCACGGTTCTGTAGGAAGGCCTAGCAGAACATAATCATGAACACGAGCTAGGAGTCAGAAGACATGATGAAAACTCTTTAATGTCACGACATGTGGACAAACTTGATCATAATTTCAACTGGGAAACTGTGACCATTCAAGACCAAACTCCAGAAGTGCTAGAGAATTTCTGGAAGGTTGGCACTCTGTCAAATTAGCCATCAATAGATACATGAAGATAAACAACATGTATGTCCCATGCAAAAGAGGCAATCAACAAGTCAAAAAGGGGAACAAAAAGATTAAACCCCCTCCCCACCTGCAATCAACACCCAGACAAGTGTAGATTTAACACCAAGATGAACAGTAGACTAACAAGCAGAAAGTAAACAATAATCCAATCAAGGAACTGCCAAAGAAGCCAATAGTAAACAGCCCAAACAAGGAACTCCAACAGTGACAAGCAAGCCACTACAAAACAGAACAGAACAGAACAGAATAGAATAACTGTGATGACCTGGGGCATGGCACAAAGGCAGTACAGTCACATAAGTAAGGAGATCCCTTTAATACCTCCAACTTTGCCCCCAATGTCCAGGTTACCTTAAGCTGGAGAAAAAACCCTCTCCCAAGAACAGTCTTTACGTGGAGGAAAATCAATCCAAAAACGAAGTACATACAAACTGTAAATAAAAATCCAGACAAACCACGCTGCAGCAGTTAACTTGACAGGGCAGGAGAAGGAATTCCAGACTTGAAAGGCCAGCAAAACACACATAGTTGGGAAGACGCCAGGAACCCAGATAAGCCTTGACAATAACAGATAACTCACAATTTGCTTCCAACAAGTTGCTGTATGCAATCTCCCTTTTTAAACACTGTGTTCCCAGCTGCAGCTAATGAAGGGAATCAGGGCCCTTTCCTCCCCCATAAGCCACGCAATTCACATTGCTCCCTTCTCCGTTCCTGCGTGCCCTAGGATGAAGAGGGCGTGGGCCTGGGTCTTCCTCCAAATTCCCTCTGCCTTGCTCTATCTCTCCCCTGCTCTGCCCAGTCGGACTTTGCCCTTCCCCAGTTTCTTCCACAGCCAACGGAGCCACACTCCCACTCCCTGTAAGCTGCTCGGCCTCCCCCTCTGAATCAGATTCTGACAGGGGCATGACAATAACTTTATTGTCCCTTTGAATGTACACTAACTGGCATACATTAAAAATGAGCTTTTGTTTCATACAGCTCTTAAAGGACCACCACTTCCAATATAGCACACCTCCAAACATGACAAGATAAATAGATAAGTAAATACAAAATTATGTATATACCCACATATATTATAAGACACAAAAAAACAACACAGTCTAGTTCGGATGTATACATATTTATGGCAAGAAAAGCGAATCTTGTGAGTTTGCCAGATGGATGGCATAGAGAACAAAGCTGTTCCAGAATCTGGTAGTCCTGCTAGAAATACTTTGAAACCTCCTCCTAGAGGGGAGCAACAGAAACAGATTGCGAAATGAGTATGCGGGGTCTCTAACAATGCTTCGAGCTCTAAACACATAGCACTTAGAAGTAGTATCCTCAATAACAGGAAGTGAGCTTCCTATGATTCCTAGCTTCCTTCTCAGCTATCCTAACCACTCTCTGTATGGACTTTCTATCTGAGGCACTGAGCCACCAAACCAAACAGTGGTGCAGTTTGTTAAAATCCTCTCAATCATGCCTCTGTAAAAAGTGACCAGGACAGAAGGAAAAAGATGTGCTCCCTTCATCCAACACAGGAAATGAAGGTGCTGGTTTGTACCCTTCACTAAGAATGATGTCTGGAAAGACCAGACATCAATATAAATTTGTAAATTTATATTTGTAAATTTATATTTTGTAAGTTTAATTTTACGAAGCTTCTTCTCTGGTAATACTGATTTGCAAACTAGGGCATTCAAAACCTATGCTAGACCACTATTTGAATTCAGCTCTGCTGTCTGGAATCCGCACTGTATATATCAGACATAAATACAATTGAGTGAGTCCAGAAGTATTTTACCAGAAGAGTACTACATTCCTCTGTTCGCAACAGAATACCCTACACCACCAGACTTGAGATTCTAGGCGTAGACAACCTTGAACTATGCCGGCTAAGATTGGACTTAAGCATAATATATAAAATCATATGTTACAACATCTTACCAGTTAATGAATATTTCAACTTTATCCACAACAAGAGCACACAACAGATATAAACTTAATGTAAACCACTCCAGACTTGATTGCAGGAAGTATGATTTCAGCAACAGAGTGGTCAAATGTCTGGAACTCACTACCTGATTCTGTTGTCACCTGCTCAAACCCCCACTCCTTTACCCTCAAACTACCCTCTATTCCTAAGAGGTCTGTAAGGGGCATGTAACACTGTGCAGCATCACGCCTCCCGCGCCTGTCCTATTGGGCCCGTTTATTCATACCTATTTCTTATATTTAAGCTTATGTTCATTCTTATTTCTATTTTATTGTAAGCTTTTGACAGAGATAAATAAATAAGTAAATATAATATAAATTGTCAATGTAAGTTGATAGTAAACCCCACTCCTTATTAGCACTGATGTTTGTTACCTCGTCTGGTTAATGAAACATCTTCAAGAAAACAACTGAGCTCAGAGAGCACCAGAAACCTCTCAGTCCATCCTTATTTTGAGCCATCAGAACGTCTTTCCTGATACACCTCTGTAGGTGTATCAAGATTGAGACACCTCTCTCCCGAATCTCCTTTCTCACCTTCCTCCCCCGCTGCTCTTTTCAGGCTCCTTCCATTCGTTACACATTTTCTACACGTTGTTCATGAACTCCAGCCAGGACGGGGGCCAGTACATTGTGGTGGTATACATAGACAACCAGCTGGCAGCTCGTTTTGACCCCACCACCAGAAGATTGTTGCCTCAAGTGGCCTGGCTCCTTAATGTGACGGAAGAGGACTCTCATATCTGGGATGAAACATCTCAGAGAGTGGACAGAACAGAGTCGTTGTTCAGGAATGAACTCCATATCTTGCGCATCTACCACAACTCCAGCAGAGGTAAGGCACACTGGAATGCAAGGGTGGGGGGACCATGGATTTTTTTTGGCCTTCCCAAGTCACCCTTCCTCTCCAGGAGGAGTCTGGATGGGTAGGAAACAGTAGCAAAGAAAATCGGCTCATGCATATCTAAATTGGTATGTGGAAATTTATGTTAAAAAGATCATATACTTTTGTCATGCCCCTGTTAGAATCTGACTCTGAGGGAGAGGAGTAACAGCCAAAAGGGAGTGGGTGTGTGGCTCTGGAGGTTGTGGAGGAAACTGGGGAAGGGCACAGGCTGACTGGGCAGTCAGAGGAAAACCCAGGCCCATCCCTTCTTCATCCTAGGGAGGAGCGGATAAGGGGAAAGCGTGAATGGTGTGGTCTACGGGGGAGGTAAGGGCCCTGATCCCCTTCATGGGCTGCAACTGTGAAGGCTGTTTAAAAGTACAAACTGCGCATGGCCCAGTGCTGGAAACAAAGCATGAAATAATTCTAGTCTTTCAGTTCTTATCTGAGTTCTTCCCAGTGTGCGTATTTCGATATCTGTGGACGTCTTGAAGCCCTTATTCTGCCTTGTTTCCTTAATTGCTTCAGTGTGGTTTGTGGTGTTTTTCTTTATAATTTATATGTATTTTGAGTTTGAATGGAATTTCTTCCTTTTTGCAACTGTTCGTGGAGGAGTTTTTTCTCCAGTCAGTAATAATTGGACCGTTGAAGCCAAGTTGAAGGAATTCAAGGGACTTCACCTGTTTTTGTGACTTTTTTGCTTTTGTATCCCACCCTGGGTCATCACAACTTTCCTTATTTTGTGCATGAATGTGGAAGACTGAAGTAAGGGGTACCTTTTGTATGGTGAAAATGAAAAGGACAAAATAAAGGATAACAATGAACTTTTTTTTAAAAAAAGGATTAAAAAATCTCAGCTTTCTAAAATAAAGGCTTGTCCTTTATTATAAGGTACAAATGGTTGTCCCATTTGGTTGTCTTTCAACTGTTCAAAAGACAACTGGGCTTTGTTCTTCCTTGGAGACATTTTGCTTCTCATCCAACAGCAACTGGCTATTTACAAAACTATCCTCCAAATTCTTCTCAATCTGTAGATTCTCAAATATCAAAGTCAGGGGAGGAGCCATGAAAAGGATGTCAAAAATAGGGACATGGATGTGATCTTTGTAATGTGCTTTTTTTCCAAGAGGCAACTGGATTTCCTTGGTTTTTTTTTTTTTTTTTTGAAGATGTTTTGCTTCTCATCTAAGAAGCATTTTCAGCTCTGACTGAATGGTGGGAATGGAAGGATTTATATTCCTTGCAGACAGCTGGTCATTTGCATTCTTTTACAGAGTCGTTGAGGCCACTTGGAGGTTTGTCTGTTTCCTCAGGGTCACCTGAGTAGTGCAAATGGATGTGGATCCTTCCTGGAACTGCTGAAAAGACTGTGTTGTGGAGCTGCGCTTTCTGGTGACTCTGAGGACACAGGCAAACTTCCAAAGTGGCCTCAGTGACTCTCTTAAGAGAATGCAAATGACCAGCTGTCTGCAAGGAGTGTAAATCCTTCCATTCCCCACCATCCAGTTAGAACTGACGAAGCTTCTTGGATGAGAAGTGAAATGTCTTCAAAGAAAAAAAACAAGAAAGTCCAGTTGCCTCTTGAAAAAAAGCACCAAGGAGCCTCGGTGGCGCAGTGATTAGAGTGCAGTACTGCAAGCTACTGCTACTGCAATTTGGCAGATCGAATCCCCACCAGGCTCAAGGTTGACTCAGCCTTCCATCCTTCCGAGGTGGGTCAAATGAGGACCCAGATTGTTGGGGGCAGTAGGCTGCCTCTGTAAAACCACTTAGAGAGGGATGTAAAGCATTGTGAAGCGGTATATAAGTGCTATTGCTATTTGGGACAACCATGATCTGGATGACTGAGAGTCCCCGTAGATGGTTATCTGATCTTCCTGTGATGTCACCTTTTAGCCCCGTGCCCATTTTCTCAGCAGGGTTTCACAGCTGGCAGAACGTGATTGGCTGCGAGCTGAGCGATGAAGGCCAGAAGCAGGGCATTTACCAGTATGGCTATGATGGGGAAGACTTCATCAGCTTGGATCAGAAGACCCTCTCTTGGACTGCAGTCAGTGTCCATGCTCAGGAGCTCAAGAGGAGGTGGGAAGCTGAGCCTTCAATCACCCATAGCAGGAATTACTGTTTGGAGAACAACTGTGTTGAGCTCCTTCAGAAGTGCATCATGTACGGAAAGGATTCCCTTCTGAGGAAAGGTGAGGCTGGAGGGAGGAGGGAGCCAAGGGTTGGTGATGTTGTAGGATAGTTGTGGCCTGTTGACTGCAGGCCCCTCCAGCAGCCGAGGAGGAGGAGGAGGTGGCGTGGAAGTCAGAGCCAGCATCAAGGCAACATGGGAGCTCCGAGGGGGAAGAGGGAATGGAGCTGACAGAGATAGAGGCAGAGGCGGAGCCTGGGCCATCCGTCAGCCTTCAGATGGAGAGTCAACGGCCCCAAGGTCTGGAGGTGGCTGATGAGGAAGAGGAGGAACAGCTGGGTCCAGTGCCTGACATGCAGATGCACAGAAGGCAGAGGAGAGGAGAGCAGTGGAAATGGGCCGATCCTTGGGTTGGAAGAGTCATCGCTGCTAGTGAAACCCTACCCAAGCTCTGGGCATAAAAGGCAGGGGGCAGAGATGAATAGGTATGGCAGACAACTATTCATTTCCCTGCTGGACAGACTTGTTTCCCTGCTGGGGGGGGGAGAGGGAGGGAGAGAGAGAGTGGGGAGAGAGAGCGAGAGGGAGAGAGGGAGAGAGAGGGGGGAGAGAGAGAGAAAGCCTTTTTGCTGGGGCTGCTGGCACTCCTAATAAAGCAACCATTGATTTAACTACAGAAGGTTTGTCATGTCATAATGCTCATCCTGTGGTACAGTGTCCCACAGGCTACACATGTGCAGTGTTAAAATATGCCAGAGTCGTGTTCCCTACAGAACCCCCAGTGGCTGAATTAATGTGCAGCATCCAGTACAAGAGCCTGGTGAGCTGCGACTGCAAAGTCTATGGCTTCTATCCCAAAGAGGTGAATGTCACCTGGAGGAAGGATGGAGAAGTCTGGAAGGGAAATACCTCCAGTCCAGGTGTTCTTCCAAACTCAGACGGGACCTACCATACTTGGCTGAGAATCGAGGTTGACCCGGAGGAGAAGAGGGACCATTACCGCTGCTACGTGGAACATGCTGGGCTGCCGGAGCCTCTGATCAAGGCCTGGAAGAAACCTGGTGAGAAGAAGGAGGGGAGGAAGGGATACCTGAGCAAACCTGTCCTGCCCTGTTGGAATCTGATTCTGAGGGGGAGGTTGAGCAGCTGACAGGGAGTGGTAGTGTGGCTCCAGTGGCTGTGGAGGAAACTGGGGAAGGGCACAGTCCAGCTGGACATTCAGAGGAAGACCCAGGCCAATCCCCTCTTCATCCTAGGGCATGCAGGGAGGAACGGATAAGGGAGCAACATGAATTATGTGGGTTATATGGGAGAAAAGGGCTCTGATTCCCTTCATTAGCTGCAGCTGGGAAAACAGGATATAAAGGGCGTTTTGCGCACAACACCTTGCTGGAAGCAAAGCTTGCATTATCTTTGTTTGTCGAGTCTTATCTTCCCAACCGTGTGTGTTTTGTGATCTTCTGAAGTTTGCAATTCTTTATCCTGCCCAGTCTCATTAATTGTTGCAGTGTGGTTTGTGTGGATTTTTATTTCTAATTTATATGTCCTTTGGGTTTGGACTGAATTTCTTCCCTTTAAAAACTGTTCTTGGGAGAGTTTTTTTCTCCAGCCGATGATAACTGGACATTGGGGGCCAAGTTGGAGGTATTAAAGGGACTTTCCTAATTTTTGTGACTTTGTTGCTTTTGTGCCATGCCCCGGGTCATCACAAAACCTGTCCCTTGAGTAGTCATACAACAGGATGAATATGGTGATAGAGTTTCCTCCTTTACCAGGTTCACCTAATGCTGTGGACCTTAAATTAAGAGCTGTGGTGGTGCAGTGGTTAGAATGCAATACCGCAAGCTATTTCTGCTGATTATTGACTGTCACAGTTTGGCAATTTGAGTCTCACCAGGCTCAAGGTTGACTCAGCCTTCCATCCTTCTAAGGTGGGTAAAATGAGGAGCCAGATGGTTGGGAGCAAGAGGCTGACTCTGTCAACTGCTTAGAGAGGGCTGTAAAGCTCTGTGAAGCGGTATATAAGACTAGGTGCTATTGCTATTGCTATTAAATGGGCCACGGGTTGAATTCACTCAACACGCCAGGCTCCGAAAGACCCTACCTTAGTTCAGTTGAACCCTTGACCAGTTCCAATGTGTTTGGCCATCCAGGCCTTTGTGCAAATCTGAGCTGGTGGGTTAAAGCCATGTGAAAGAGGAGAAAGAGGAGAAAGTCTAGAGCAGGGTTCTCTAACCCCCAGATGACTGCCGGTACCGGGTCCTGGCCCGTTGGAAATGGGGCCATGCAAACGGCGTGGAAGTTTCATTTGTGCAAGCACGGGAGCTACGTTGTGCATGCAAAACCATCCCATCCCCCCTCACCGCCACTGCCTCTTTTGCTGTCAGTCCATGGAGCAAGAAAGGTTGCTATAAAGAGTGTTATGTAAAGCTGGACTCAGATAGAATGCCAGAAGAATGAGCATGTGTGTGGAGAGGAAAGGAAGGGTTATAGTATAGAAAGGCTGGTATGTTTGGACTCCCTGTCAAATCCCTTGAGTTAGAAGCGCCCCTTGTGGTCATCCAATCCATCTCTGTTCAGAATAGAATGGAATGGAATAGAATAAATGGAATAGAGGAGAGTAGAATGGAATAGGGTAGAAAGAATAGAATAAAGTAGAAAGAATAGAATAAAGTAGAAAGAATAGAATAGAATAGAATAGAATAGAATAGAATAGAATAGAATAGAATAGAATAGAATGTAGAGTGGAGTGGAGTGGAGTGTGGAGTGGAGTGGAGTGGAGTGGAGAGTGGAGTGGAGTAGAGTAGAGTAGAGTAGAGTAGAGTAGAGTAGAATAGAATAGAAAGAATAGAGCATAGAACAGAACAGAACAGAACAGAACAGAACAGAACAGAATAGAATAGAATAGAATAGAAAGAATAGAATACAGAACAGAATAGAATAGAAAAGAATAGAATAGAATAGAATTCTTTATTGGCCAAGTGTGATTGGACACAAAAGGAATTTGTCTTGGTGCAAATGGTCTCAACATACATAAAAGAAAAGATAAATTTGTCAAGAGTCAAGAATCAGAAGATACAACACAATGATAGTCATAGGGTACAATAAGCAATCAAATCATACTATGAAACAATCAATAAAAATCGTTGGATGCAAGCAACAGTCATAAGTGGGAGAAGATGGGTGATAAGGAGTGATGAAAAGATTAATAGTAATAGTAGTGCAGGCTTAGTAAGTAATTGGATAGTGTTGAGGGGATTAGTTGTTTAGCAGAGTGATGGCGTTCAAGAAAAAACTGTCCTTGTGTCTAGCTGTTTTGGTGTGCAGTGCTCGATGGTGTTATTTTGAGGGTAGGTGTTGAAACAGTTTATGTCCAGGATGTGTGGGGTCTGTAAATATTTTCACAGCCCTCTTTTTGACTCATGCAGTATACAGGTCCTCAATGGAAGGCAGGTTGGTAGTAATTGTTTTTTCTGCAGTTCTAATTATCCTCTGAAATCTGTGTCTGTCCTGTTGGGTTGCAGAACCAAACCAGACAGTTATAGAGTTGCAGATGACAGACTCAGTCATTCTTCTGTAGAACTGGATCAGCAGCTTCAGTTCAGGCATCCAATTTAATCCATCCCAGAAAGATGGCTGTTTAGCTCCTCATGGGCAAATCCATCATCTCTCTGGATCAGAAGTTCTGCACCTACTATTAAGAAAAATTTAGACCATTGTCCTTTGATTCATTCCAAGGGAAGAGAAATCCTCCAATTCTCCAAAACGTGTGGTTTGTGACGGGAGTCCCCCTGGCGGTTGTGGTCTTGGTCATAATTGTGGAGATGATCTATATCAGTAAGTATCTCTTGGGTGGGCACTGGGTACACCATTCGCAAAAAGTGCAGGCTGCCAACTTCCAGGCCCCAAAACCAGGTACAGCTAGTCCTTGATTGACAACAATTGAGCCCAAAATATGCCTTGATAAGTGGGACATTTGCTAAGTGAGTTTTGCTCCATTGGATGCTCTTTCTTGCCACAGCTGTGAAGTGAATTGTGGCCACTGACAAGTTACTAACCTGGTTGTTCAGTGAATCCAGCTTCTCCATTGACTTTGTATTCATTAACTGGTAGAGACATGGTTAACAAAGTCAGCAGGTGAGTAAGCAACGGACCAGCCAATGGGAGCTGGCTTGACTCTGGGTGCTTTGCTGAAAATTGAAACTGAAACTAGATCTCTGCTCTGAACTGGAGCTGTAAGATATCTGCTTCTGTTTGTGTTTGCTTGTAACCGTTCCACGTTGGAGGAAACTGCTGGTATGGTACATTTACTTATTTTATATAAAAGGAAGTTAAGAAATCCTGCTGAATCGGTCATCTGTGTGTTTTCTGGATTGGAATTCTGCTGCAAGCTCTTAACACTTGGCGTGTCAGAAAGCCACAGTTGACCACAGTTGATCATGTGACCCTGGGACACAGCCACGGTCATAAACACAAACCAACTGTTGGGCAACCGGATGTAAATCACGTGACCATGGGGAGGCTTCAAACATTGGAACGGTGGGAAAACGGTCCTAAGTCACTTTTTTCAGTGCCGTCGTAACTTTGAATGGTCACTAAATGAACTGTTGTAAGTCAAGGACTATCTGTATTTCCCACAAGCTCCGTGAACCCATCCTCTGAATCTCCTGAAGGTCCCGTAGAGCTGCTCCACATCGTACCCTAAGCCAGTATCCTAAAGGTGCTTTTTTCAGGAGGCCCCTGGACTTTCTGGGTTTTTTCTTTTGAAGACATTTCACTTCTCACCCAAGAAGCTTCTTCAACTCTGAGTGGATGGTGGGGAATGGAAGGATTTATATTCCTTGCAGACTGCTGGTCATTTGCATCCTTTTATAGAGGCATGATGGCGAACTTAGTGGCATACAGAGCCATTTGTGCCGGCATGTGAGCTGCAGGCAAACTTACCTCACTGTGCGTGTGCACGCTTCACAGCTGATTTTTGGCAGGTTTGAGGCCTTTTTTGGCCTCCCAAGGGCTTGAGGAAGGATTCTGCAGGCTTCTGGAGGCTTTGCAGGCCAAAAACTAGCCCCGTTTTGTCACTTCCTGTTTTTCCAAAAAATACCGGAAGTGACGAAACTGGGCTAGTTTTCAGCCTGCAAAGCCTCCAGAAGCCTTCCTCAAGCCTTTGGGAGGCCGATAAAGGCCTCAAACCTGCCAAAATATCAGCTGTGAGGTGCAGTGCCGGTAAGGAGGCAGCGTGGGTGTGGGAGGGATTGTGCACACATGCGTAGGGGGCATGGGGTGGGGGTGTGCATTGCCTTCTGGGTGCTGGCACGTGAGCATGCAAGCGCATGCACAAGTTTTGGCACAGGAACCCAAAAAGGTTAGCCACCACTTCTTTTAGAGGGTCATTGAGGCCACTTGGAGATTTATCTCTGTCCTCAAGGTCACCTGAGTAGTGCTCCTGGCTCCTGCCGTCTGCAATTTTTCTTCTGGAAATCCATTCCTACTCCCACACCGTTCCAAGAGGGTTCATCCCAAATTGTATAGCTAAAAGTCTGTAGAGATTCTGTCATCCAAGTCTTGGTTGTCCCAAAGGTGATTTTTCAGGAGGCAACCGGACTTTCTGTTTGTTTTTTTTCTTTTGAAGACATTTCGCTTTCTTGTCCAAGAAGCTTCTTCAGCTCTAACAGGTTAGTGGGGAAAGGAAGGATTTATATTCTTTGCAAAGAAAGTCCAGTTGCCTCCTGGGAAAAAAAAACAACCCACCTTTGGGACAACCATGACCTGGATGACTGAGAATCTCTACAGAACCTAAGCCATGGTTTCTCAACCTGGGCATTTGAAGATGCGTGGACTTCTGGCTGGGGAATTCTGGGAACTGAAGTCCACGTCAGCTGCTGAGGTGGAGAAACATTGTCAACCTACGTCATAATATTGGGATTGACTTGCTTTTAGCTTGGGTGGTTTTGGTTTGTCAGCTGGGAGCAATTCTGCCTAACTGGTAGCATCATTAAGCCAAACTTGGGAGGCTTTCAAAAGCAAAGCAGAGTCGGGTTTGATTAGTGCTGGGACGGGAGAC